AGGAGTTTAGGATTTCAGAGTTTAGGGTTGAGGAGTTTAGGGTTTAGGGTTTAGGAGTTTAGGGTTTAGGTTAGGGTTTAGGGTTTAGGAGTTTTGGGTTTAGGTTAGGATTTATCGGGTAAGAGTTTAGGGTTTAGGGTTTAGGCAGAGATCCTACGCCCCAAAACCCCAAAGCCGTCGGGCTCGAGAGGCTTGAGTCAGACTTACAAAGCAGGGTCCCTTTTTGGGTCCCTAATATAGTACGGCACCCTTATAAAAGGACCCCAAAAGGGACCCTATTTGGAAAACTACCCATATATCGACTTCAGGTCAGTGGGCTACGACAGTAGATCTCGCGTTTTGGATCTTTGGCATTTCAGGGGTGCATGGGACCCTAAACCCCAGTCCCTAAACCTTAAACCCTAAACCCTAGATCCTAAACCCTAAACCCTAAACCCTAGGCCCTAAACCCTAGACCCTAAACCCTAAACCCTAGACCCTAAACCCTAAACCCGAAACCGTGCGGGAGGACTTTCGGTGGAGGTTAAAGACAACAACTCCATGCTGCGCTGCCCGTCTCACTGCTCTTATGACAACCGTTCTCCTCTGCGGTCACTGTCAACGTGGTTTAGGGTTTAGGGTTTAGGGTTTAGGGTTTAGGGTCATGAGTAGCCATGCCACGTGGTATTCTTGCTTCTAAGGGCTTATCTTAACCTACCAAAACCTACTTTTCTGTAGGGTCCCTATAAGTTCCATATTCGGGTTTGTAGTAGGAACCTAGAAAAAAGTAGGGTTTGGTAGATTAAGGTAGGGTTTAAGGTTCAGGATCAGGGTTTTTTGTTCCGCTACCGGGTCTTCCGGGGCCGACGGCGTGGCGTAATGCAAGGGGTTTTGGGTTTAGGGTTTAGGGTTTAGGGCTGCATGCAATGCTTCAGAATTCGAGTGATGCAGGAATAGGACACGATAGCATGACATGTCGGTAGAACCTGCCAGGAACTCACACTTGTCTGAGTGAATAATGCGTGCCTTCATACTTGCATGCATAGTCGCTAGATGCATACAGGGCATAAAGGAATACAAAGACACGTGCATGCACAAACACGGCTGCATGCGCCCCCATTCACACAGACACCAACAACCAAGCACACCAGGCATAACTACACAAAAACACGGTCGCAATGAAAGCACGAAAATTTAAGAAACCATCAACCCGGAACAGTCCGCCAACCTACACTCCTAAACCCTAAGCCTTCGTTGTAGCCAGCTGCTCTCTTTGTCCTTCGGCCCAGAATCGGTGATGAGCCCGCCTTGGTGCGACGGAACCGCCCGAGAGGTTTAGGCGTTGTGGGGTTTAGAACTTCGGTAAACCCTAAACCCTAAACACCCTAGAACCCTAAAACCCTAAAAGCCTCAAACCCTAAAACCCTAAACCCTAAAACCCTAAACCCTAAACCCTAAACCGGGTTGATGCGTCAGGGCGCGGTTTAAATCCCTACGCCCTAACCGGCATCCCGAAACCAGCTGCTTTTGCAGCGAGTGCTGAACGAGACAGGGGCCTTAATAGTTAGAATAGGGTCCCGTACAAGGAGATTTATCAGGGCAACTACAAGCGGTCTGTAATATAGGTGCCTTCATAATTAAAGTAGAGCTTCGGTGTAAAATCTACTATATCGATGACCAAACTGGCATTACTAATTGTTCACGCTTCTATCTGACATTCGGGCATTGGCTGTTCTCCACACTAGAGATCCTCTATCATTATCTCCTTCGACCAAAAACGTTATATGAGGCTTCACACATAAAAGCCGCAGCGTGTGCGTAGGGTTTAGGGTTTAGTGCCCAGGATACTCGAACCTATACACGGCAATCGGAGCGCAGTCAAGAGAAAAACTGTAAAGGAGGACATACTGGGTCCAGTACGTCCTGGGCACGGGAGCATTCACGCAGAAGTATGTCCAGCATGTGATAACTGCTCTCCTGCATTAGATAAGCAGACAGACCGCAGAAAAGAGAACACCACAGCCCAAACTCGCGGAAGCCCAGATCCCGTTTTGAAAGAAATCCTGTCAAATCCATTGCAGAAAGAATCTCATAAAGACCCTCCCATGAAACAGGGGTCGGAATGATTACGAAAAGTAACCCCTTATAGCTAATAGTCCCCTGAAAGGAAAAAGTAGAATATACACCCAAAACCCTATGCTATCGATTTAGGCCCCTGTAGTACAGACCCTCAAGAAAAAACCATAGCTGCGAAGAGTCCTGAAGGAGACTGCGAGAGCCCAAGTACTTTAGGGTTTAGGGTTTAGGGTTTAGGGTTTTACTGATAGTACCTTATAAACTGCAGGGCTCAATACTCCGGTCGAAGGTATTTCTCCCAATTAAACCACCGAAAAAACGAAGAACCCCTGTTTAAAACAAACACACACACACACACAGACCCTGTAAACGTCTGTCAAAACCCGGCATGGAACCCTTGAGAAAAGACTTCGGCAATCTTGCATAGAACACTATACAAACCTAGAAATCTCTGCATAGAACAACCAATATATATATATATATATATTCGATATGTACGTATTTATTGTTTATTTCCCATGATTTGTCCATTTATTCTTTTCCATTTATGTACAGTTACATATGCATCTCGATATGAATATAAGCATACATATATATATATAT